CCCGACCTACGTCCACGATATCTCCATCTCTTTCTCATGCGAATGACGGGGATTTGGGCCTTGTCGGATGTCTGTAGGATATCCTTTGCGTCCGACTCATTGAAGAAAAAATCTTTGGCCAATACGAGGTGAGTAATCGCTGTCCTGATATCCAGACGCTCTTTTTGGTCATAAGAGACGGTGGCAGAAACATTATGTACAGAATAAATTACAAATAACGCGAAAAAACACACATAATAGTACAATTGGTTAGAGGGCTGTAAAACGGCTGCCATCTTCTTCGGTGCCATTCCACACGACATTAGACAAATGTCATGACAGAGTAATTTAGCCAAGACCTACATAGAATATAGTCCAAGTAGATGATTAAGGTGGGGGAACTATATCGTGTATATCTTTTGTTGTGTTTTTATTCTTTACATTTTTATTTCCTTTGACACTAAGGAAGTGATGTTGCCACAATCAAGTTCCCCATACGACCACCAGTTGGTGCCACAGCGCCGCCCCTTTGGGGAGGAAATGTAATGATGTATTGCCTAAGTGTTGTGCGTTGTTAATGTCTGTGTAAGTTACTGCCTAGATCTACCAGCCTGGACAACTGGACGACGAGCCCGCAACGATGATCCACAACCAGGACATCCCGTGGTCATTTTTTGTTTTATGGTGGGTTGCAAACTTGCAGAATCCTTCCAAGGTTGAACCACCAGAGGGGGACTGTCATGACTCAATGGCCGACAACAACTAGACGGAAACGCCCCTCTTTACCAGAGTGCATAAAAGACTGAGATAAGAATTATCAGATCAGACTAGACGGACCTCAAGCTGCAGCTGTTGTCCATATTGGTCCCGACCCTGAAAATCAACACGAGGTGAAGACGACAAAATTGCCTCCACTAACAATCAATGTTACGGCTGAGTAGCTGATCTAAGTACTGTATCTAAGAAAGTGAATTTAAGTTGGACCATCCTGTTACTCTCTTCAAACCATCGTCTACTACACTCCCCACAGGGGATCATCGACACGGCTGATTAGCCGTCCTCAGAAGACCACTTCCAGAACGAGTGAAAGTAAACAGTCGACTAAGAAGGACATTGTGACATCTTGTAGACAATCTGAGCCTTACATCTGAACCTTACATCTAAAAGGCCATCCGAAAAGAGAAGGCCCAATCGACCCTTCCCACGAAGGCCTGGGTCCAACAGAGACGACGAAGACAAACACGTAATAAATACATGCATTACTTCTTACCAAACGGGCGGCAGTACTTGGCATTAGGATTACTATGAGTATAGGTCCATGTGTATCCATGTGTTTTCTCTCGCTCTCTCTCTCTCTTTAAATCGGCATCTTTTGTAACAAGTGTCATATTGTGTTAGTCTGCTAGGGACCCGTTTTCATTGTATTAAGTTTCTAATCCCTACCTATACGGTGTATGTGTTTGTATCTTGTGTTATCATTTTTAATTAGTTAGTAAATAAATAATTAAATCAATTTGTGTGGTACGGAATGATCAGTAAGACCCGGGTTCGTGCAGACTTAAAGAGCCTACGACTTTCAGAATGAGACTGATATGAGGTAAATGATTCATAAATGACAGTTACGGTGGGGAAAAAAAGTATTTAGTCAGCCACCAATTGTGCAAGTTCTCCCATTTAAAAAGATGAAAGAGGCCTGTAATTTTCATCATAGGTACACGTCAACTATGACAGACAAATAGAGATTTTTTTTCTCCAGAAAATCACATTGTAGGATTTTTAATGAATTTATTTGCAAATTATGGTGGAAAATAAGTATTTGGTCACCTACAAACAAGCAAGATTTCTGGCTCTCACAGACCTGTAACTTCTTCTTTAAGAGGCTCCTCTGTCCTCCACTCGTTACCTGTATTAATGGCACCTGTTTGAACTTGTTATCAGTATAAAAGACACCTGTCCACAACCTCAAACAGTCACACTCCAAACTCCACTATGTCCAAGACCAAAGAGCTGTCAAAGGACACCAGAAACAAAATTGTAGACCTGCACCAGGCTGGGAAGACTGAATCTGCAATAGGTAAGCAGCTTGGTTTGAAGAAATCAACTGTGGGAGCAATTATTAGGAAATGGAAGACATACAAGACAACTGATAATCTCCCTCGATCTGGGGCTCCACGCAAGATCTCACCCCGTGGGGTCAAAATTATCACAAGAACGGTGAGCAAAAATCCCAGAACCACACGGGGGGGACCTAGTGAATGACCTGCAGAGAGCTGGGACCAAAGTAACAAAGCCTACCATCAGTAACACACTACGCCGCCAGGGACTCAAATCCTGCAGTGCCAGACGTGTCCCCCTGCTTAAGCCAGTACATGTCCAGGCCCGTCTGAAGTTTGCTAGAGTTCATTTGGATGATCCAGAAGAGGATTGGGAGAATGTCATATGGTCAGATGAAACCAAAATATAACTTTTAGTAAAAACTCAACTCGTCGTGTTGGAGGACAAAGAATGCTGTGTTGCATCCAAAGAACACCACACCTACTGTGAAGCATGGGGGTGGAAACATCATGCTTTGGGCTTTTTTCTGCAAAGGGACCAGGACGACTGATCCGTGTAAAGGAAAGAATGAATGGGCCATGTATCGTGAGATTTTGAGTGAAAACCTCCTTCCATCAGCAAGGGATTGAAGATGAAACGGGCTGGGTCTTTCAGCATGACAATGATCCCAAACACACCGCCCAGGCAACGAAGGAGTGGCTTCGTAAGAAGCATTTCAAGGTCCTGGAGTGGCCTAGCCAGTCTCCAGATCTCAAACCCCATAGAAAATCTTTGGAGGGAGTTGAAAGTCCGTGTTGCCCAGCGACAGCCCCAAAACATCACTGCTCTAGAGGAGATCTGCATGGAGGAATGGGCCAAAATACCAGCAACAGTGTGTGAAAATGTCACGATCGTCGGGAACAGAGGACCAAGGCGCAGCGTGGAATGCGAACATATTTATTAAATAATGATCACACGAACAAAACGATAACGTGACGTCCCTGGTTACATACACCAACCAACACGGAACAAGAAACCACACCAAATGAATGCCTAACGGCTACCTAAGTATGGCTCCCAATCAGAGACAACGAGCTACAGCCGTCTCTGATTGGGAGCCACCCTGGCCAACATAGAATTACAAAACCTAGAAATTAACACCCTGGCTCAACATACGAGAGTCCCCAGAGCCAGGGCGTGACAGTACCCCCCCCCCCCCCCAAAGGCGCGGACTCCGACCGCGCCAACCAAACACAACAGGGGAGGGACCGGGTGGGCACTCCGCCTCGGCGGCGGATCCGGCTCCGGACATGACCCCCACTCCTTCTCTAACCCCCCAAAGTACCCCTGGTCCGGTCTGGCCCTGCTGACCGGAGCTGAACTGAACACTGGTGGAGCGGATTGCTCTAGCTCCGGCGTGACGCAGCTGACCCGTGCCGACCCAGGCACCGGTGGAACAGGCACGGGCTGTGCCGTACTGACGACGCACACTACTGGCTTGGTGTGGCGAGCAGGAACGGGCCGAGCTGGGCTGACGCAGCGCACCACTGGCTGGGTGCGGGGAGCAGGAACAGGCCGGACTGGGCTGGCGACGCGCACCACAGGCTCGGTACAAGGGACAGGAACAGGCCGGACCGTACTGGGGACACACACCACTGGCCCTACGCGGGGATCAGGAACGGGCCGGACCGGACTGGTAACACACCCCAGTACCTCTCGCCGTGCCTCTACACTTTCCTCCCCTTTTGTGACCAGTGGCCCCCGTAACCTGGCGGCCTCCTCTACTAACCGCTCTATCGCGGCCTCCTGCTGCCCCGTCGTCCACGGCGTGAGCCCCCCCCTAAATATTTTCTGGGTGTCTCTCCTCCTCGTGGACCAGGCCTCCATAGTTCTCGCCCAACTCTCGCTCTTCTGCTTCCAAGTCCTCTCTGGCGTTGGCTCCTGGACACGCTGCTTGGTCCAGTTATGGTGGTTTCTTCTGTCACGATCGTCGGGAACAGAGGACCAAGGCGCAGCGTGGAATGCGAACATATTTATTAAATAATGATCACACGAACAAAACAACAAAACGATAACGTGACGTCCCTGGTTACATACACCAACCAACACGGAACAAGAAACCACACCAAATGAATGCCTAACGGCTACCTAAGTATGGCTCCCAATCAGAGACAACGAGCTACAGCCGTCTCTGATTGGGAGCCACCCTGGCCAACATAGAATTACAAAACCTAGAAATTAACACCCTGGCTCAACATACGAGAGTCCCCAGAGCCAGGGAGTGACAGAAAACCTTGTGAAGACTTACAGAAAACGTTTGACCTGTGTCATTGCCAACAAAGGGTATATAACAAAGTATTGAGAAACTTTTGTTATTGACCAAATACTTATTTTCCACTATAATTTGCAAATAAATTCATTAAAAATCCTACAATGTGATTTTCTGGATTTTTTTTTCCTCATTTTGTCTGTCATAGTTGACGTGTACCTATGATGAAAATTACAGGCCTCTCTCATATTTTTAAGTGGGAGAACTTGCACAATTGGTGGCTGACTAAATACTTTTTTCCCCCACTGTAAATGATAAGAGATATCAAGATATCTTTAGAGTTAATTCGGGAAACGGTAACTCGTTAAACAACTTTTCCCGTGGTGCCCCAAATTCCTAATGAGTTAATTGTTACATGATTAATTTAATCTAGTAACAATTAAACATAGTAGGTAATTATTCGATAAATAATAGTCATCACTATAATGAAAGGCACCCCACGACACATCTCAAAACCATAACTGACATAACTGATAACCTGTCTTGGTTACTGTTGTGAAATATTCATAAAGGTGCTATTATTTTCTTATTCGGAATTGAGAGGCATTGCATTAACTTTGCATCTTATGACTTGTGTAGAAATGACATACCTTTTTAAAATAATCATAACAAGTGCAAAGAATGAGTCCCAATGACAATACTATTCACATAATACCTGTAGCTACTTTTTAGTCTGTGCAGCACTAGAAAATCAGCAGTAACATTTACCCTTACTTATTCTACTGAAAAGTAACTTTAGATTTTTGTAAGTCTTTGGCCAATGCATTTCTGTTTTTTTTATACAGATAATCACAAAAATAAATATACAGTGTGCTAAAGTATTTAAATATATACAAAACATATAGAATGTTCCAGTCTATACATTGCAGGGATTATACAATACAGAGATTGGATAAAACTGACTGCAAAAAAACACAACAGAAAGATTATCTACAGCTAAACATTGGAGATTGAAACTCAATTTATCATGTTATTAAAAACTGTATCAGTGGCAGATAATTGATTTAAAAGTCCCAATTTCCTTTTTCTACCCAAATGTAAGATGTGTTGCTTCTCATTTTCCTCAGATAGGACACAGGATACATTTTCATCTGAGAGTCCTTGGGGAGAATAGAAAAGGTATCTTTTGTAGTTTGCTTCCCAATTGCAGTCATTGGAGTTTAGACTGTGCAAAATAAAGAAACAAGATCATTGGGTTTGTGACTCTGGATGTTTAGAAAAAGAGGAGATTCTTGTCTCTGACAGTATCCCAACAGTCAAGTGTCTCATGAGTAGCTCTCGTTCTCATTCCAGCTTGTCATCCACTGCTTTTTCTCAAAAGAATCCAGCTTGGCTTTTCCGTCTTTAAACTGACAAGCCTCCTTCCTTATCCGTACAGCATGGTATCTTGGAATGTTGTCATCATGTTTTGAGCGTTTGAAAAATCCACACTGGCAAGAGAAAATATACATTATTATAAATGAGACTTGTATCAACCTGAACATATAAATACAACACTTGCAAAATATAATGCTCAAGCAAATCAGAGGCAATGCAAAGAGAGTGTTTTGTGTAAGAGCATGCTTCCCATGGAAAGAGTAATATTCAAAATAGCATTTCCAAACAGCCAGGCGGGCAAAGCAGAAACCTAGAAAAATAAAGAAAGTTCATAGCACACAAGAAATAGTTCCAGAATTACTTCTGGAACAAAAAGTTTAACAGGTTTGAAAATAAGGAAAATGTAATAACTGCTCATTCGGGGGGAAAAAAACATTAAATGCTGACCAAATTTAAACACACATACATGAACAAATACTGTATCTGCATAGCGCATACTCTTTGCACATACTCAAATTAGATCGATTCCAATGACCAGATATGGTACAAATGCAAGTGTTCATGTGCACTCCCATACGTATTTATTTGGACAGTGAAACTAAAACTTTAAATTTGGTGCCACACTCCATTCATTATGGTTTTGAGATCAAATGTTTTATATGAGGCGACAGTACAGATTGTCACCTTTTATTTGAGGGTATTTCCATTCATATCTGTTTTACCGTTTAGAAATAAAAGCACTTTATGTAACTAGTCCCCCCATTTGAAGGTGTCATAAGTATTTGGACAAATTCACTTATAGTGTATTCAATTTAGTCAAAAGTTTTAGTGAGAAAGTTACAGACGCATAAGTATCATGCCCCCCAAATTTTTTTTTTGGGGGGGGTGATATTTATGCATCTGTAACTTTCTCACAAAATTGTTTTGGGGGCATGATCTTTGTGCATCTGTGACTTTCTCACTTATCATTATTCACGATTACATTAATGTAGAAGTGTTTAGAAACATATTCTATTCTTATTGACAATAAATGTGACTCCAAAATGATACAATACATTATTTACCATTAATTTCTATGGGCCACAACATAATCTGAAACACAACCAAAACAAACTGCAAATGCATCCAACAAGTTTGTAGAGTCACGAGCTTGATGTAGTCATTGCATGCTATGAATATGGGACCAATACTAAACTTCTGACTACATTTAATATATGATATAATAATATATATAATATAATATGCCATTTAGCAGACACTTTTATCCAAAGCGACTTACAGTCATGCGTGCATACATATTTTTTTTTTTGTGTATGGGTGGTCCCGGGGATCGAACCCACTACCTTGGCGTTACAAGCGCCGTGCTCTACCAGCTGAGCTACAGAGGACATATGTGAATTCGCCAATTCTTATGACACCTTCAAATGGGGGGACTAGATACATAAAGTGCATTTATTTCTAAACACTAAAACAGATATGTATGAAAATACCCTATAATAAAAGGTGACATTCTGTACTGTTGCTTCATATAAAACATTTGATCTCAAATCCAAAATGATGGAGTATAGAGCCAAATTAAAGGTTTTAGCTTCACTGCTGATGTAAAAAGGGCTTTATAAATACATTTGATTTGATTTGAAATACGTATGGGAGTGTATGTGTCCATTATAATTATTTCACATGAGACGTACAGAAGTAACTTCGGAAGTAAGCATTTCCTTTAAAGCAAAAGTGAGTTAGTCTTTGTTAAGCCCACACTCCATGCTGACTGCAATGTCCGTTTTACCCCAGGTCTGAGTGCAGAGATCAGGCACTAAGCCTCAGTAGTGAGTTTCTCTTTGTCAGAGGGCTGAATATGGATCTGTGCCTTGTGATACGCTGCATCATACTGGTCTTGTGGGGCTCTCTTGAAGAAACCACACTTAAGGAGAGCAAGGGTGATGAATCATTAGGAACAATATGAGAATGGAAATATACTGTAACACCGCAAGTGTGAACAAAATCAATTTTATCAGAAAGATACGTTATGATCACTGTATGTTAGGATTACTACCTTAATGAATAATGATTCACTGTCACATGTGTCTACTAATAGCTCAGAGTACAATACAGTGAATATGTTAGTAAATGTGTTGCAGCTACACCATGCCTACCTTCCAGAGTAAAAACACTAGCAACGCCAACATCAGAATACCAGCCAGGACAGCCACAAGGATGATCCACCATGGAACTCCACCAAACTGGGCTACGGTCTTCTCTGGAAACACTGTGACTCTCACCTGCATGGGCACAAGAAGAAACAGTATGTTTATTTTGATTTGTTACATAGAAATTCTTAATTTTATTGATCAGTGAAGGAGTCATTGTGTGAGTGGATGGTAACGGCTGTCAATCATTTCTGTGCCACCCACCTGAGTCTCAGCATTCCTGAGAACCATATTCTTTGCAGGAGCATCAAGGCTGATGGAAGCTTTCACAATTATATCAAGATAGTTCAAAGATGCGTAATTCTGTTTCAAAATAAAGGTTTTCAATGTTAGAGAATGTCCAAATCAATAGTATCGGCTATTTAGGACTATTTTGAAAAGCAAATAGCAACAGGCATGTTGTTTCTCACCTCAAGGAGGGTAGCGTTCCACAGACGGGACCGTAGAGAAATCATTGCACTACTGTCCAAGCCCAGTAGAGGGCACTTGATCACCACACATCTAGCGTCGTAGCCATTGCCACACATCTGAGAGGAAAATTATTTTTGTCAGACAACCTACCTGTCATTATTGATCTTTTTCTTTTTTTTATGAAAATGAAAGTGTGTTTACCAAAATCTTGTGCTTTCTTTGGTCTGATAACAAAGAGATTTTCCCTCCATATGCCTCCAGCTTCACGCCTTTTCCTAGATGTGCTGAACTCCTAAAAAAACCATTATCACAAGTTAGTGTTTCAAATTAGAATTTCATTAAGTGTTTTAAAACTTCCTCTCTGGACGATTTTGCTTCTGCACAAATGCATCAAGTACAGTGAAACTTCAGTAGGAAAGTATTACCTGAATGTGTTTGAGAGGGTTGATCTCAGTCTCTGGGGAGCAGGGGATCTCTTCCAGGCCAGTGGTGCTGATCTTAACCAGATATAACAGCCATTTCCCATCCACATTCTCTTTGGGCCACTGGATGTTCAACGAGGCTGTGCCAAAGGACTTCAACGGCTTACCCAAATTGATTATCTGGAGGTATAATATTAACATTTTCAACATCACGGTCAAACCTCAGATCAAGTGATATTGAGAAACTCAGTGAGATAAGCAGACAATGATAATTACCCTAAATTCATAATCGATCAAACTGCCGATCTCCTCTTCTGTCTTGATGGCACTCTCTCCTTTCACATCGCCCCCAAAATACACCTGGGAGGGTCTCGCAACTCTGTTGATAAACAAACCACATATTAGAGGACTACATTGCACACAATAGCTTTCAAATCTAATTGATGCAGTAAATCAAAAAGTGTAAATGTTTGAATACTTACCCTGCAACAGAAAGTAACAGCTCAATCACTACTTTTGCCTTTGCTTTCACTCTGCCCATTTTTTCCTGTGTACTGGTCCTGAAAGAAGAGAAATTACCCATAAAAGTATTTTATAAGGCCACCAAGTCAGTCATCAGTCATGTTTGTGCGAAAACTATAGTGCTACTTACGTTTGAAGCTCAAGGTCAATGTCGATTTCTGTAGTATTGAGAGAGATACCAGCAGTGCTCAAGATTATGTAGAAAGTAACCTGGAAACATTCATCATGAGTGAGCCACACAATGACAGAATAAGACAAATACTGTAAAGAAAAACGACTTCATAGCCTACCTCTGAATCTCTTTTGAATGGATTCCCCAGTTCACACTCTGTCTGGGAGCCATTCTGATTGGCTAAACAGAGCACCGGTTTATCCCTCTGGAGAACAAGAACCCATTACAATGTTATTACTTGACTGATAGCAAATCTGAGTATGCTGAAATAAACTTGAGTCACTCCACTTACCGTAGTTTTCTGCGAGCGAAATCCGGAGTATGAGAGCGCGTTGGGGAACATCCCCACCAGTTTAGCCTCATGGGCATCATCCCCATTTTTGTTCTTCACCGTAACCTCCAGAGCTATGTCCTTCTGATCACTGAGGGAGATAACTGGTAGCCCATTCTGCCTGGATAAAAACAAAAACAAAGCATTGCCTTATACCTTCCTTAGATTCATGGTTTTCTTTTCCAAATCTAGCATGAAAGTCCCAGAATGTACAGTACCAGTCAAAAGTTTGGACTCATTCAAGGGCTTTTATTTATTTTTAATTTTTTTTTACATTGTAGAATAATAGTGAAGACATCAAAACTATGAAATAACACATATGGAATCATGTAGTAACCAAAAAAAGTGTTAAACAAATCAAAATATATTTTATATTTGAGATTCTTCAAATAGCCACCCTTTGCCTTGATGACAGTTTTGCACACTCTTGGCATTCTCTCAACCAGCTTCACCTGGAATGCTTTTCCAACAGTCTTGAAGGAGTTCCCACATATGCTGAGCACTTGTTGGCTGCTTTTCCTTCACTCTGCTGTCCGAATCATCCCAAACCATCTCAATTGGGTTGAGGTGGGGGGATTGTGGAGGACAGGTCATCTGATGCAGCACTCCATCACTCTCCTTATTGCTAAAATAGCCCTTACACAGCCTGGAGGTGTGTTGGGTCATTGTCCTGTTGAAAAACAAATGATAGTCCCACTAAGCCCAAACCAGATGGGATGGCGTATCGCTGCAGAATGCTGTGGTAGCCATGCTGGTTAAGTGTGCCTTGAATTCTAAATAAATCATAGACAGTGTCACCAGCAAAGCACCCCCACACCATAACACCACCTCCTCCATGCTTTACGGTGGGAACTACACATGCAGAGATCATCCATTCACCCACACCGCGTCTCACAAAGACACAGTGGTTTGAACCAAAAATCTCAAATTTGGACTCCAGACCAAAGGACAAATTTCCACCGGTCTAATGTCCATTGCTTGTGTTTCTTGGCCCAAGCAAGTCTCTTCTTCTTATTGGTGTCCTTTAGTAGTGGTTTCTTTGCAGCAATTCGACCATTAAGGCCTGATTCACACAGTCCCCTCTGAACAGTTGATGTTGAGATGTGTCTGTTACTTGAACTCTGTGAAGCATTTATTTGGGCTGCAATTTCTGAGGCTGGTAACTCTAATGAACTTATCCTCTGCAGCAGAGGTAACTCCAGGTCTTCCATTCCTGTGGCGGTCCTCATGAGAGCCAGTTTCATCATAGTGCTTGATGGTTTTTGCGACTGCACTTGAAGAAGCTTTCAAAGTAATGACGGACTGTCGTTTCTCTTTGCTTATTTGAGCTGTTCTTGCCATAATATGGACTTGGTTTTTACCAAATAGGGATATCTTCTGTATACCCCCCCTACCTTGTCACAACACAACTGATTGGCTCAAACGCAGTAAGAAGGAAAAAGATTCCACAAATTAACTTTTAAGAAGACACACCTGTTCATTGAAATGCATTCCAGGTGACTACCTAATGAAGCTGGTTGAGAGAATGGCAAGAGTGTGCAAAGCTATCATCAAGGCAAAGGGTGGCTATTTGAAGAATCTCAAATATAATTGATTTGTTTAACACTTTTATGGTTACTACATGATTCCATGTGTTATTTCATAGTTTTGATGTATTCACTATTATTCTACAAAAGGTGTCTTTTATACAGGTAACGAGCTGAGATTAGGAGCACATTCTTAAAGGGAGTGTTCCTAATCTCAGCTTGTTACCTGTATAAAAGACACCTGTCCACAGAAGCAATCAATCAATCAGATTCCAAACTCTCCACCATGGCCAAGACCAAAGAGCTCTCCAAGGATGTCAGGGACAAGATTGTAGACCTACACAAGGCTGGAATGGGCTACAAGACCATCGCCAAGCAGCTTGGTGAGAAGGTGACAACAGTTGGTGCGATTATTCGCAAATGGAAGAAACACAAAATAACTGTACATCTCCCTCGGCCTGGGGCTCCATGCAAGATCTCACCTCGTGGAGTTGCAATGATCATGAGAACGGTGAGAAATCAGCCCAGAACTACACGGGAGGATCTTGTCAATGATCTCAAGGCAGCTGGGACCATAGTCACCTGTCTTTCTGGAATTTGTTGTTGTTATTCTGTCTCTCACTGTTCAAATAAACCTACCATTAAAATGATAGACTGATCATGTCTTTGTCAGTGGGCAAACATACAAAATCAGCAGGGGATGAAATACTTTTTTCCCTCACTGTATATGCACTAAGAATGTTTGTTCATACTTACATCTGTAATGGAGGGAATACCTCTTGGTTGGGCTCTTTGGAGCAGAATTTGTACTCCAGTTGTAAGTTACTCTGGCAAATATTATCATTTCCACATCCCTCCTTTAAGAAGTTAACCTGTAATGAAGCACAATACATACACTCAAGCTTATTTTCAATGCATCTGACAGTAAGTCCATTCTAAACTTGACTGAATTCTAATCGCCCTGAGACATTCAATGACATCATGAAGTATATGCCACAATGGAGATCCTCTCTCAGCTCTGAAGCAGTATGGTTACCTCAGTGATGACCTTGCTTGGCTGGGAGTTGTCAAGAATAGGCACAAGCTGGGGGAGAGCGTTCTGCCTCTTCTGACGCTTGGTGCCCATGATGCCCACTGACACCTCAATGGGAATACCACGCAGCTTGTCCCTAATGTTATCCTACAGACAGAGAAAACAACCATGATGAGTACACCATCTCCCTTCCCACATTCTAGGTGTTATTCTAGAATCTCAAGAAGGTTAGAATGAAGACCAAATACTGTACCTGCAGTCTGATTTTTGTCTTGGTGCACGCTCTTTTGTTTTGTCCCCGGAGGTCCAGAGTTCCGGTGGACTGGAAGTCCTGGTCAGTGCGAGACTTGTTCAGAAACAGGACCCTAGAGATCAGCCCTTGCTTCCTGCGATCTGCTTCAGCCTCAAATGCATAGCGGATAGCTGTAAGGAAACATAACAGAACAACAGTATGTATTATGTAAGGACAAATGGATTCAGGAATTTCGGGACTACGACAAATTATGCCAATTGGGGTGGGGTTACAGGAGAGAGAGAGGCTTCACTTACTTAGTTTTGGGCTGTATGATGCAGGGTTGGCTTTATAGGTGAAGCATGCCTCCACGGTCAAACTATGGACAACAAATGGATATTATTCAATTAAATTGGCAAACAAATCTAGAGAAGTATAAAGATGTCAGACATATTTTCAAACATGAGTAGTCATCAAATCCCATCAACACCTTACCAGATACTGTTGCCACAAGTTTTTTTTGTGAAGTCAATTTCCTTTGGAGTAATTTTGACATCCTTCTTGATACTAATAATTGGCCTTGCCCTAAAACAATAGATGTTATGTGAGTTGTTATGTGTTATCTTGACATTAATTTGTGAGGTCGAAACTGGATTGTTATAGATAGCCTAACAGGATCATTACCTGTAAACGAGTACTGTATCTGAGAGCGACCCAATGGCTATATCAGGATAGGAATTCTTATCTAAGTCCATGTTCCCAGCCAGAGAATATCCAAATAATCTGATGTTGTTGGGCTTTCCTTCAAGGATCTGAAATTACAAATAAAAATAGGATGCAGCAGTGATGTCATTTCACTATGTCAACAAGCATATCCTTAACCAATATAACACTGCAAAACCAACCTGTGCAGGCATGGTGTTGATTCCATTAGCAGAACCATGGTAAATGTACACTTTTCCTGCCCCGGCATCAGCGTAGGGCGCTCCAACAGCAATGTCTGTAAAAGAGAAGCCATTTAGCTATGGAATTTGATGGAAAAAAGAAAAGAAAAGGCCAGAAACAAGAACAGATACCAGGTTCCCACCTTGATAGGAGTCCTGATTGATGTCACCGATGTTCTCCACTGCCAGCCCAAACATTGAGTCTTTGGTTCCATTGAGGCGGATTGGGGTGATCTTGGCCCACTTTCCTGCCTGGTTGATGTAGACATAAACAGCTCCTCCAACGTCTCCCTCTTTCATGAAGAACTGAGGGGCTCCCACAACAATATCCTGCCACCTGGGATGCAAAAAAACAAAACAAAAAACATTTGAAGCATAAGTTACAATATCCATGTAGGTTTGATAACATAATGTATGGATAAGCCAAAACTGGAAAAGTAGAAGTGAACTTGTGTGACATACCCATCTCCATTCAGGTCGACCACAGTTACATCATATCCAAAAGAAGATGCCAGTCCAGGCCCTTCTAGAATGTACTCTGGGGAGAGTCTTGCTGACGCTTCATTCTCTTTTCGCAACAGGACCACAGCCCCACAGTGATTGGCTCGTGGTGCCCCAGACACAATAGTTAGGCCACGCCCCTTGGTGATGCTATAGCCAGAATCAAGGGAAAATCCTGCAACATGAAATAAGAGGAATCAAGGTATATCTCTTACACTGTGCATAATACAGATCATGCATCTTTCATGGATAAATGAGTGAATTTGGGATGTAAAGAAAAACACTAATAAATATACTAGTCATGTCATCTTGAAGCAACCTAGAAAACATATGTTGATGCACACATACACTACCAGTCAAAAGTTTGGACACACCTACTCATTCAAGGGTTTTTCTTTATTTTTTACTATTTTTTACATGTAGAATAATAGTGAGGACATCAAAACTATGAAATAACACATATGGAATCATGTAGTAACCAAAAAAGTGTTAAACAGCCACCCTTTGCCTTGATGACAGCTTTGCACACTATTGGCATTCTCTCAACCAGCTCCATGAGGTAGTCACCTGGAATGCATTTCAATTAACATGTGTGCCTTCTTAAAAGTTAATTTGTGGAATTTCTTTCCTTCTTAATGCTTTTGAGCCAATCAGTTGTGTTGTGACAAGGTAGGGGGGGGGTATACAGAAGATAGCCCTATTTGGTAAAATACCATATTATAGCAGGAACAGCTCAAATAAGCAAAGAGAAACGACAGTCCATCATTACTTTAAGACATGAAGGTCAGTCAATACGGAACATTTCAAGAACTTTGAAAGTTTCTTCAAGAGCAGTCGCAAAAACCATCAAGCACTATGATGAAACTGGCTCTCATGAGGACCGCCACAGGAATGGAAGACCTGGAGTTACCTCTGCTGCAGAGGATAAGTTCATTAGAGTTACCAGTCTCAGAAATTACAGCCCAAATAAATGCTTCAGAGTTCTAGTCACAGACACATCTCAACATCAACTGTTCAGAGGGGACTGTGTGAATCAGGCCTTCATGGTCGAATTGCTGCAAAGAAACCACTACTAAAGGACACCAATAAGAAGAAGAGACCTGCTTGGGCCAAGAAACATGTGCAATGGACAGTAGATCGGTGGAAATACGCCATCCCATCTGGTTTAGGCTTAGTGGGACTCCAGGCTGTGTAAGGGCTATTTTAGCAATAAGGAGAGTGATGGAGTGCTGCATCAGATGACCTGGCCTCCACAATCCCCCGACCTCAACCCAATTGAGATGGTTTGGGATGAGTCGGACAGCAGAGTGAAGGAAAAGCAGCCAACAAGTGCTCAGCATATGTGGGAACTCCTTCAAGACTGTTGGAAAAGCATTGCAGGTGAAGCTGGTTGAGAGAATGCCAAGAGTGTGCAAAGCTGTCATAAAGGCAAAGGGTGGCTATTTGAAGAATCTCAAATATAAAATATATTTTGACTTGTTTAACACTTTTTTGGTTACTACATGATTCCATATGTGTTATTTCATAGTGTTGATGTCTTCACTATTATTCTACAATGTAGAAAATAGTACAAATAAATAAAAACCCTTGAATGAGTAGGTGTGTCCAAACTTTTGACTGGTACTGTAAGTATACCAGTAATAATAACTGCAGTGCATTCAAGCATTATGTTAAAATTATGACATGCTAAATATTCACATTATAAACCATTGACTAGTTAGCCATCATGGAGATGGAATGGTTAATGTTTTAGGCACCTCAAAGGTCACAAACCTAAGTAACTATTGGTCGTCACATCTAGAGTTCTCTCAGGGCTGACCTGCAGAGAAGGCGACTTATACACAAACTGATCAGGGTTGGCAGCAGACAAACTGGTCATGAACAGGATACCTAAGCACACAAAATACACGGATCTCACAATCAAGGTTCAGACCTACTGTACCCACCTAGGTAGCTGTTAGCAGGCACAGGCACCAGGTCAGGATCCAAGCGGTTCTCATCTCCAACTTCATAAGGCCCATCATCATAAAATCCCTTTTCCAACAAAGTGTTGTTTTTTTGCTCTACACGTACAATGCCTAGAGTGGTTGAGAGTGAGGGGTGAAGATGTCAATGGAATGCTGCTGGCTTAAATATGACCCTCAACAAAACAATAACGACACAAGCTAAATGTAATTGGGTGAATGTATTCTACAAGTGAAAATAAAATTGTATTAAAGCACAGTATGGAAATGTCAGATGAAGTATGTTGCAATGCCTTTCTTTACCTCTAGAGGACAATGTGAGTCACAATTACTACATGACTCTTTCAGCTGACATTAAAATCTATACATTGTACACCCATTGATTTTCAAAGTAAATAGGTTTGGTAACTACAACTTAAGTTCATGCCTTATGAACAGACTCCTACCTTTCCAGTTGTAGGCACCAGGCGCTCCAAACACCACGTAATGGTAGTCCTTGGTGAACGTGGCAGCAAGACCCTGCTGGCATGAGCCAAACCTCTCATGGCCTCTGGCACGTCCCTCACAGAACTTCCAGTTCCCTCCGTCTTCATCAGAGGATGTATCAATAGTGAGGTCCTGACTCAGGACGTAGCAGCGGCCTGTGATGTCACGGGACTCCTGAGCAGTGTCCACAAACAGACGTCTCTGGTAGCGATGAGCACAGGTCTGCAATGACAAGACAGTGGAATCAGGTTAACATCCACCAAGTAAGGCAGATCCTCAGCTAATGAATACTGTAGATCTGACGCAAAGTTCCACCTGACAGATATACAAAGCACTATGAACCTGGCCAGTAAACCAGCCATGTAGTATATCCTCTGACACTGACTTACCACAATCTTCCCTCCAGGGCCCTGGCTGTTAACTGTCACCCCCATCCACTGGTTCTCCTTGTTCTCAACTCTCACATCCTCTGTGGGAATTCATCAGAAGGAATCAGGATGCTATGTTGATTCTTGCTTTAGAATTATTAATTACAATTACAATATATATACACCTCACCTTCATTGTCAAAATCGATGCGATCACAGTCATCGGATTCGGTGGTGATGTCACAACTGTACAGGCCTCCGGTTATGTTGGCTCTCTGGTTGGCCAGTGCTTTGGCTCTTGGTGCTCCAATCAACAGTCTGTAAGAAAAATCCAATGACTGTATCTTTAAGATATGTACGGTCTATAGATTAATGTACTGTGACAATAGCAGATGTCAAAGACGTTTTGTAATCCTATACTGCAGCTGTTATATTCAATAATTCATACTGACCATTTTTAGACATGGGATTTGATGCAGTCAGCTTAGTACCCAGGACTGCACTGAATAACAGAGACCATGTCAAACTGGCAAACACATGTCCACTACTTTGTGTCTATACAAATTGCCAGACAAACTGCCAGCATTCATAATACTGTCTCAGAGTTTTCAAATAATTGTGAACATGCCCTTTGAGACCCAAATAAAAACATTTTGGCTGCCAGTCCTCAAAATAATTATTTTGGTGGCTAGGGACAAAAAAGAGATCTTCTCATGATCTATTTATGTAGTAGAGTAGACTACTGTGCAATACAATGAGCACTAGGGAGAGAAACAGTAGAGCCGACAATCTAATTTGGAACGTATTCAATAATGTGATTGTCCTGTACAACATTAGCTCACTGACCACAACTTATCCAAATCACCCCCAGTCCTTCAGAGAATCCTAACAACCGCAGGGAACAATAGGCCTGCGTGAATACATTTCAGGCTTGAATCATTTGTAGAGCCATTTATTTATGACATATATTTATGCGCAATGCTTTATATGACTTGAGACTGAATGATATTGGAATTAAATATTTCAAGTAATATCTTAGGAGGGCTTTTAGGAATTGGCTGTACTTGGCACTTCACTAAATGAAAAAAGCGTTCCTGTTAGGCTAACACTATAGAGGGAAACACACAGGCAGCTAGCTCAGTTGAACAACCACAGTGAGAGAAAAACACTTGAGCAGGACCACTCTGGGTCACATTTTCCAGCCTGGACAGTGAGTGAGAGCCACAGCCCATACCAGGGAGCACTGAGAAAAACATGAGGAGAAGCATCAATGTGAGAATAGCTCACTCTGGGTGAAAATATTGCATAGGCCTATTGCATATTACCTAGAGGAAGTCATTTTGTAATGCTATTAAGGAAATGTATTACAGTCCTTACAGTACAAGTCCTATGTTCAACTGCTTAGGAAGCTCCGATCTACTGGACAACACATTTGGGTGATCGTGGACCACAGTGTGAATCCAATGGAAACGTTGTGAGAATTTCCACAAAGGGGGGCAGGGAATCCTCTCCACCCTCTTCCTCCACTCTGCATGATTCCACAAGCTCTTCCCGTAAACCCCCTATTGATTCCTTGGATAGTGTCATAGACCTCCATTTACCAAACAAGGACTCCCAAGAGGAAGCCTGTTGGGAAAGGGGAAGATCGAAGCCCAAATTCTGTCCCCTCCATTCTATCAACAGCCAGTGAAATGCAAATAAGAGCTTAGTCAATACAAAGATCGTAACTACAATTTCACAGTGCAGCTGAGCTTTCAGTGCTAGGCACAGTTAGAATGTATATTGTTGAGTGCTTTCAGAATCACAATTTATTTATTCTAATGTTACTCTTGCACATTACACTCTCACTTAACCCTGGAGAAAACAGCCCCATGCACTCTTAGAAAAAAAGGTTCCAAAAGGTTTCTGCGGCTGTCCCCATAGGATAACTATTTTTGGTTCCGGGTAGAACCTTTTTTGTTTCCAGGTAGAACTCTTTTGGGTTCCATGTAGAACCCTCTATGGAAAGGGTTATACCTGGAACCAAAAGGGTTATACACAGAACCAATAGGGGTTCTTCAAAGGGTTCTTATATGGGGACAGCCAAAGGACAATTTTTGAATCTAGATAGAACCTTTTTTCTAAGAGTGTAGAGCTATATGAAGTGGGAAACAACACATCCGTGCAGAGATAGTAACACAGAGATAGTAACACTGAGATAGGGATTTGTATCTGCAAGTAAAGGTTTTCAGCAGACAACAAGTTACATTTGGGGGAAATGAGACATTTTCGGACACATTCAAAAAATAACATTGCAAATCAACTGCCCTTGTTTCCCTAAAACATAAAACATCCAGGTTATAGCATCAAGTCAGCTTAGCTACCACAAGTAAATAAAAACATACATGGAAAGCCATATCCCTATCCCTGTCAAGAAGTCTAAAAGACAGTAGGAAGAGAAAAGAAAGCAAAAACAGAGACCATGTCAAAGCATGGCATATCAACCAACAGCATGGTTGGTTACAGACTAACTGTAAATGAATAGTGGTGGCCAAACTATGGGTGCATCCTTTGTCCACATGTGTGATGCTGCCCCCACAGCTGTGCACTCACAGTCCCCAGGACCCCTGCAGCTGTTCTAACTGTGTCCGTTTACCCACACCAACACTTGGCACTGGCCTGGAGTTGGCTTGTTATATCAGTCAGGCCATTACAAGAATTAGGCGTGCTGGATTTAAGCAGAGATCCTGCTCAGTGAAAGCTCAGATAGGAACAAAACCCCTGTTAAATGTGGTGTAAAGAGTTCATAGACATACTACCGTACAGTGTGATCCTAGAAAAGCCATGATTTCTAGTTGGTTTTGAGTGTCTTGTCTGAGATGAAACTGCTGCAAGTGGTCTATTGGGTTACATGTGCACAGATGGCCTGGCATGTACAATCAAATGGCCTTTTCTCTGGTTTCACTGTGGAGATATCCTAACCACATCATCGACGTACAGAGCTATTCAGGGGGGTATCCAATTCATTGTTTTGAAGAGGATGCATTAACATGTTCAATATACAGTGTCAAATGGAAAAAGGTGGATCTTTACTTATCACTTCCATTCCACAGGAAACTATATGAATAGAAGGAAGGAAAATACTTTAGTGTACCACACTCAAAACGAGGTTGTTCTTTCAATGCAACCATTGGGGAGTTGCAAAGATACATAATGACTGTTTACTTCTTTCACATTAGATGGGCGGCTTTCAACACCACAGATTTTCTTTCCACGTGCGCAGAGACATTGGCAATAAACCCTGAAGGGCTTGAGGTTGTTTTGAGTTCAAATCAGTTTTAAACAATCAGTGCTAGACACAGAAGGTTATCTAACTAGAGAGGAAGGGTAAGTGAGTAATCACTTTTGTTGAGTTGAGTTCAGATAGTGAGGATATTAGTCTGTTATATAGCCACACCTGCTGCTCAAATAAGCAGCTGTATGGCCAGCTCATCATAATAGAAGATTATAAGCTCTTTAAAAAATATGTTCCAGGCCCCAATGTACTAAAAAGGAAGTGGTCACTCAGTACAAGCAATAGCCAATAAATGAGTTGATAACATTATGAATTTATTCATATTCCAAAATAAATGTTGCTGATAATTTGGCCAGATTTGGGTTTTACATTAATGCCACTGACTGTGAATATCAGATGCTCTAGGTGGGGAAAAACATAAATAGAGTCAATTGTCGATTGGTTAAACAAATATTTGCGTTGACATTTGGTTTCCTAAGCTGTGTAATGACATAGCTGGTTAATGAGCATCACAGCCAGGGCTACACATTAACTATATGTGTGCTCAACTCTGCTTTCACTTGGTTTGCTCATTATCTAAGGTCACATGAGGATTTAAATTTGAGATCACAGCCAGATCTTGACTTGGGCAGGAGCTCAACAGAGCTGAGTACCGGCACCTCAAATGTTATACTGCTTGAGCTCCTGTTCCTCTTATAGAATATTAGCTCAAAAATATTGTGGAGCTCCTGCACCTAGAGATAAACTGTACCGGCACCCAAAATGAGTACAGGCACCTATTTCAGTTCAAGTAAAGCACTGATCACAGCCAAAATGTTTACAAGACACTGTGTTTTCCTGCTGGTCTCAATGACCTAAAAAGGATAGGCCTAAACATTTTTTTTATGATAATATCTTCTTTGTAACAACCAACCAAGGACAAGAACCCAACAGGGAAGGGAAACTGTCCTAAAGGCAAATGGTTCATTTTCCTCTGGTCTTCTTAGCCTTCATTAGAGAGCTGTAGAAGGTTTAGGGCCAGATTTACCAGAATGTTTGTCATTCTCCTAACATTGACTAGAGTTTTTGTACTACCTATTTTATTGTATTGTTATTCTTCCGAAATTACACTGCTTAGAAAATCTGATCCCAAAGTGTGTGGCTTTTCAAAACATCAAGACCTGAGCTCTTCTATCTTTGCTAATAAATCAGTGGCTCTCCCTCTACCCAACCAAGGAATTCTAGCCTCCCTTTGAAATTTAGTGGGACACAGCCAACTGCCAGGGTCCTGAGAAATACCAAGCTTCTGTTTGTCCAACAAATATCATGGAATTCGCTATATATTTTAGAGACTGCTGCTTTGGGCCACCTTGAACGTATTTCTTGGACAGGCAGAGAGAAACACACACTTGTAAAACATTAACATATAAGTAGGACATTAAACTTTTTTTAAGCAGTAATTTACAGCAGCGTTACGGTAAACATTAGCTTTGAAAATAGCATTAAAAAACGTTTTAAAAGTTGTGTTGTTCACAAAGACATGATTTTGTCACCGATAAGCGTTTTAACTGTCTTATTCTACCCTTTCTTCAGAGCACTTAGCCCCATAACCTCAAGCGTGTTCCCTTTCAAATGACACCATGGTTATGCATAACTGCATCCTCCTGCTGTATTCTCTCATTATTAGCATCTAACTGTGGGTCCATATTGCTTAACCTACAAATCTCTGGCGTTGAAGGTGATAAACATTTAGTAAATGTGTTAATAATGATACCAAGAACTGCCTTACCTGAGAGGTTCAGATTGCATTCCTCAAAGCAGGATCTAAGTGAGGATCTAAGTAAAAGAAGGGCAATCTGAGTGATCTAAGGAATCCTGGCCTAAATGTTGTTATCAGTGCATTGCAGACTGGGCCTTTGCATCTCTAATGTACTGCAGCAAGTGCCCTCTGGCTGCCACCAAATGTGTGCTTGCTTGTTGGAGCTCAGCTTAGCTCACCCTGGCTAGAGTATGTGTGTGGATGTGACATGCCGCAGAGCCCATCCCCCTGCTCTGCTCTTCTGGTGGGTAGCTGGAACACACACTTGTGAGGCATGGTTTTGTCCCAAGCTGGATCATTGCACTCACCCCTAACTTTCCTGGCACCTCAGGGTTGGCTTAAGGAAATTAATCACAGGTTACATCATTACCATTACTAATCATTCTTGAATATAGGTATGTCAAAATATGTTATTCTCAAATTGTGCGAGAAATTGCCCTTTCGGTAATACAGCAATGCTGACCATAGTTAAAATACCTCGTACCTACAGGGTGTTTATTTGATTAAATTAGACTTAATGGATTGTTCTTTATCTAAATATATTCAATGTTTATGGCTGCAATGTTTTTAAATGGTGCACAGTGCACTGCACACACACACAGCTGTGTGACAGTAAAAATCCCAGTGTGTTCTGTCTAGACCACTGCCGTTCTAAACCAATAATTAACCTCGACCCATGTCACACTCATCCACTCTCACTGTTGGGACAACATCAGGTCACCAGTCATTCCTCTTTTACATTTAAGTCATTTAGCAGACGCTCTTATCCAGAGCGACTTACAGTTAGTGAATACATCTTTTTTTTTTTTTTTATACTGTCCCCCCGTGGGAATCGAACCCACAACCCTGGCGTTGCAAACGCAATGCTCTATCAACTGAGCTACATCCCTGCCGGCCATTCCCTCCCCTACCCTGGGCCAATTGTGCACCGCCCATGAGTCTCCCAGTCGCGGCCGGCTACGACAGAGCCTGGATTCGAACCAGGATCTCTAGTGGCACAGTTAGCACTGCGATGCAGTGCCTTAGACCACTGCGCCACTCAGGAGATTAATTTTCACAGGAATTAATCTCAACTATCAGAGAATGGATTACAGCTGAATAGATAAACCTTGGTTGCACCACTGCAGATGCCTGAGTAGCTATTTAGTAGAATGACAAGCATTTGTTATAAACCAGGGTTTATAACCATGTTATGAACTCATTAAATAAGTGTACAAGCCTGGAGTTGGTGAAAGTGAATGTGTGAAAGTTAGAAATGGATCTGCAGGCAGATCTATTTTTAAGAATGTAAAACAGCAGAAGTAATGCTGTTTGTTAATTGACACCAAAATGCTTCTGGAATGATAACAGTGATAATATACTTTTCAATAAACATCTGGCAGGCAATACAGTGTCCCATACTGTGAAAACAAACGTATGATATCCAGTGTGTATTCACTTTTTTTATGTCCTTACAGATTTCCTATTCATATTCAGAGAACCCCATCTCAACCTCTCACTTGGGGGATAGAGTCACTTTCTTTTGAACAAATGTAATTAACATGCATGATTTCTCCAGTGACAAAGCTCGTTACCTCTGGTTTTCCATTGTTAACTTGTAGCAAGGTCCCTGTCAAAGGGCATTCTGAAACACACAATGACTGGACCCACGCACTACTGAATATAAATCCTCATTGTGCTTCTAGCCAATTACACGCATTCAACATGTAGGTCTCCAAAACATTGTGAGTGAAAAAAATATGTTTTTCAAAACGAATCTCTCAGAATTTCCATGTACGAATAGCAATAGTTCATTTCTCTCCATAATGAAACAATTGTGGAAAGTTGCTTTAATAGGAACAGTTTTGAAATGCACAGTATTCGTTTTAAATGCACAATATTCTCCTCCCTTGACAAGAAAACGGTCCCAGAGGAATTTGGTCAATGGACCTGCTACCATGCATCAAGTGATGAACGCTCCAACTACGTGTAAAGTGGAGACTGGAGACGCACAATAAGTAGCCTAACCTACCCACACGAAGTGTAAGCCTAATAAATGTTACAGAACTAATGCAACAACAATATCAACAACCAAACAACCAAAACTTACATTCTCTTATCTGAAGGAATAAGTTGCCGGTGCATGGCTAGAGAGAATCCAAATAAACTGCCCGGTTCTCCGTCTTTCCTCAGGACATTCAAGGTATCCAGGTTGAATGCTGATATATGGGTCCATTCTAGCAAACAAAAAAGGGCCACATGAATTGGAAAATATCTTCTTGGGAGCACCATTGCGTTAGGACCTAATGGTACCACTATAGTCCAATGTTGTGCCGGTGTTTCCACGTTCCACTACACCTCGCTCAGGATTCTCTACTGAATGCTTCTGTTGTTTTCCCGGGGTTATGGATTAAGTTCGTGCGGTACAGCGCCCCTCCCTCCTCTGCTTGGTTGTCACTAGTTACCACATCGACAAAGTCAAAATTGGGTATGGTAAAAATTCATGAAAACAAAAATTTGCTTTTTGCTATTAATTTAAGCTCAGGGTTAGGCATACGATTAACAGTGTGGTTACGGTTAGGGTTAAGGTTAGGGTTATGTTTAAATCACATTTCAAGAAGATAAATTGTAGAAATAGGCGGGGTTTAGCCATTTGTGGCTGTGTTAACTAGTGACACTCCTCTGCTCCCCTCCCTCCACCCTTTATTTACGTCACCATGCAAGTATTACTTTGTCATACCTTACAACTAGGGTCCGGAGTTTTACCTGGTTAGGTTAGCCCAGTGGTTCTCTCCTCGGGGACCCCCAGATGTTTCACAATTTTGTTTTAGCCCTGAAGTAGTTCACTTGATTGACCTAATCAAGGGCTTGCTGATTAGTTGACAATTTTAATCAGGCATGCTAGTTCTGGAATAGATCATATACATTAACCGGCTGGGGATCCCCGAGGAGAGGTTTGAGAACCACTGGGTCAGCCTATCAGACCAAAACATGTCCTATAAGTATGCTCTACTATAACAAAAAAAAAAAAAAGATGTAGTAGGTATCTGAACATTTCGACTTAGTAGCTCGACCTTTTGATTTATGTATCTAGAAATGTTGACTTAGTATCTCAAAAATGTTTGATATAGTATCGATATTTGTATACATATTTTCGTGGCGGGAAGGGGCTTCCATAAGTAACTCAACCATAGATTGGTAACTTTTTTTCTAATTTGGCACACAGAAACTAGAGTCCATGAGTAACTTGGTCAAAAATAATGGTTCTTAAGCGCTAGATAAACCTTGGAGGTAAATTAGCAGAGTGGCTGTTCTGTGCCAACCTGCCAGAGTGGCTGTTATAAGCAGTCTCACGCAAACCCGCCCCGTTTGACCCAGATACTTTAAACTTTGTAGGTAGAGGTCTTTTTTCATGCTGAACAAATGTGTCTCTGAACAAATGGCTTATTTATTAATAAATCAGGAAATCAGATTTTATGTGTCCATTTAAATTCTTTGTAAATCCACTCCACAATGGCCTATCAACTTGAAACTATTTAGGGTCATCAAAGACATTACCATGATGAAACGTGTTAAGTTAAAAATAATCATAAAAAATCTTCTCATTGACTAAAAGTCAGATTCACTCCAAATTTTGACTTTGGACTCATCCCTAAAGAGTTTGAGAAAATAACGTTGATGCACTCAAAGATAGCCACCACAGATGCACATACTCTAATATGCTAAAATATGCAAAGAAAAACGTATCATTAACCACAGGACCAAATGACACCAAATGTTGTAGGCCCATGGTACATTTCTTAACTTAGTTTGAGAAAAGCTAAGGGATTGCTCAAAAGATGGCTGAGTTATTGACAAAAATAAATAAATATGTATTGTCCATTTAAACCACTGTAAATCCACTCCACAGTGGCCTATCAACTTGAAACATCACTCTCATGGATGTCCCTAAGATGAACCACACTGAATTTGGTATTGATATCTCAAAAAACAAGGAAACTATTAACAACTCATTCTTTGCATATCGTCGCTGTCTGATGAAAACCTCGTAACTAAATGTTTACCAATGTTCTTTTAAAAAATGTTTATTGAAAGCAGTAACTCATGAATAGCTTCATTAAATTAAATCACAGTACACTGTAGCCAATATTGATCAGAAATGGCTATTTGGTAACCAGACTGGACTGAGAGACACAGTGCCTTCGGAAAGTATTCAGACTCCTTCACTTTTTCCACTTTGTCACGTTACAGCCTTATTCTAAAATGGATTAAATAAATATAAAATTCTCAGCAATCTACACACAATACCTCATAATGACAAAGCGAAAACCGTTTTTGAGATTTTTTGCAAATGTATAAAAAAATAATTACAAAAAATACCTTATTTACATACGTATTCAGACCCTTTGCTATGAGACTCGAAATTGAGCTCAGGTGCATCCTGTTTCCATTGATCATCCTTGATATGTTTCTAAAACTTGATTGGAGTCCACCTGTGGTAAATTCAATTGATTGGACATGATTTGGAAAGGCACACACCTGTCTATATAAAGTCCCACAGTTGACAGTGCATGTCAGAGCAAAAACCAAGCCATGAGGTCGAAGGAATTGTCTGTAGAGCTCCGAGACAGGATTGTGTTGAGGCACAGATCTGGGGAAGGGTACCAAAACATTTCTGCAGCATTGAAGGTGTCACACCCTGATTGGTTTCACCATCTTCCACATTATCCCCTGTGCATTTATACCTGTGTTCTCTGTTTATCTGTTGCCAGTTCGTCTTGTCTTGTCAGGTCTTACCAGCGTGCTTTCCCGTTTTCCTGTATCTCAAGTGTTTATTTCCTAGTTTTCCCGGTTCTGATCATTCTGCCTGCCCTGACCCCGAGCCTGCCTGCCGTCTTGTACCTGCCTGACTTTGACCTGATTACGAACCTCTACCCCATGTTCTAATAAATTATTATTGAGAACTGTACTCTCCGCCTCCTGTGTCTGCATCTGGGTAATATCCTGAGACGTGATAGTACGAACTGGCCATGACTGACTCAGCAGACTCAGACCAGCTCCACAATGCTGTCTCCCAGCAAGGAGCCACCATTGGAAGACACAAGGAGTTACTGCAATGCCTTATGGAGGACTCCATACCCTGGCAGAACACCATGACCATGCGTTCGATACATTGCTGGAGCAATTCCGTGGATTCCCTACAAGGCAGCAAGCCACACCAGTAATTCCCCAGACTCTCAGCAAC